ACAGTGGGCAACATGTCAGTCTGTTCTTCGATCTAGTCTTTTCCTTGAACAAAAGCCTGTAAGTCTGCATCAGTCATTGGAGGTGGTCCTTTCTCTGGTCTCCCCGAGGCTCTGGACCAACGGTCTTGCATCAACTCCTTCTGCAGTTTCTCTCTGTCGTCTACCTTGACGCGAATCCCCATCTCCCCGAGTGTAGGCGCGGCATCTGTGAGTGTAGTGAACACCTTGACTCCTGATGCCAGGTAGATTCTCAGCTGAGCAGGGAATGGAGATTGGGCCTTTATTTTCTTCTCTTTAAGCTGCTTGATCACCTCCCTCACCTGTCTGCGCTTCTGCTGTGTGTCTGCGGTGTAATCCTGGTTGAAGAAGATCTTTGCCCCCTCAAATGCAACTCCTCTTTGCCTCCATGCCTGTTGAAGTACAGCATCCTTAACACTATAGTCCAGGAACCGGGCGATGATCGATCTCAGTGGGGCAGAAGCATCTTTTGGTCTCATTGTAATGCGCACCTCAAGGTCCTCCGGTAACTGAAGCGATGTGCACAACAGCTCAGAAATGAATGGTATCATGTTGTTTTTCTCGCTTCCTTCTTTGACACCATAAATACACAAGTTATTGCATCTCGCTCTTGCCTTGAGATCCTTGCACTTCGCTGAAAGTTTTGCTTCTTTGTGCAACAACTATCGGATGGCTCTCTTGCGTCGCATTCCTCTGTCCTCCGTGTCACCGAGCCTCCGCTCCACACTAGCAGTCCGTTGTTCTAACTTAGTCGTCCTCTTTAGAACATCGTTGATGGTTGTTTCCAGTCTGGTAAGGGTAGTTCTCATGTCTGCAGAGGCCTCAGCGTGTTCTTGTCTGAATTTACGTAGTTCGGCAAGTACCGCTGATTGTTCTGGTGCTGGCGCCATGGGTCGCACAGGTGAAGATGGCGGATCCGCGTTGGATTGTTTCGTTTCATCTTTTTTAGCCCCTCTTCCCCTTCCACCTCCGTCTTTCTTTGCTGCTTGCATTCTAGAATTCAGCAATGTTTAATTTGGCTTGTTTGTTTTTAGTTTGTCATTAATGTAGCTAGTTTTGTAGGGTTTTTTGGCGGAGCAGGTGGCTCAGGCTGTTTCTATCACCATGACGTCACCGGAAGTCTCGTTAAGCACTAACTTAACTACACAATTGTATTATCTATGGGAGTGTATAACTCTCTTAGTTAATTCGCTAAGAGAGTTACAAGATCAATCAAGTTCCCTCATGGTTCCCCAATTTATTAAAAAATATACGACAAAGTCACATATCCAGACAATACTTTATTTCTGGTACTCATCAGGAACCATTAATTAACTTCCCTTTCTGTTTAAACCTAGACAGGGCGTGAACAGTTTGTGATTGGCTTGTTCAAATTACGTAACCCAATAGGAAATACGGGGGATGCACCTTTTTGTGTTGTATAGCCTGGAGAAGGTGTGTTTACAGGTAACAATGGGAGGGCCTCCGATAGCCCCGCCCTTGCCATGTGTTTTGTAATACCGTTGTGTGTGAGAAAAGAATCAGAGAGAGAGGGTGTATCGTGGCGGACAGTCCTGTGGGGTCAGGCATGTGGAGACAGTCCTGATGAGTTAGTTAAGTTGAGTCAGCTCAGTAAGTTAGCCCTGTGGAGTTCAAGCCTGTGAAGCTAGTCAGGTGAGTTGAGCTCTGTGGAGTTCAGCTCTGTTAAGAGTTGTTGCTGAAGGCAGTCACCCCGAAGGGACTGCACTGATGATTTTGGGGATCCTGCATGAGCCCGTGAATAAAGGATGAATGTTATTTCTTGACTCTGGTGCCTGTTTGAAGCAAAGGACTCTGTAGACCTGGAAACTGCACCTTGGGTTTTAAGAATCTTCATTAGTCCCTACTAGCACCCATGGTCCCTACTGGGGCTGCACAATATGAGGATAACGTTATTTAACGTTATGTGATAACGTTAAATATTGCGATGACAATATGACTTGCGATATATAAAAATATATATTGTTATAATATTAACTTTAATATTGTCAACCAATTTTAGAAATTAACAATGACAAAAAACCTCCTCACTACTTCAATGCCTTACTTAAAATTTTTTTTTTCTGAAATAAACAGTTTAGAAAAACATATTTTTTAATGTTTTTAATGTAATCTTTAACAGCTGTATAACATGTCATATGAATAAAAAGGTTTGACTAAGGTGTATACATGCATTTTAGTAATCCAATCATAGTTGGACTAAGCCAATATGTCGACTTTCTTGAGTGTCATGTAAACGTACTGACTGTAAGCTTTAACAGCTGTATAACATGTCATGAAGAAAAAGGTATCCAAAATAAGTTCAATCCAGCAATAAATAAAGTAGCACTCAACATTTGCTGGTAGATTTGGCCTACTGGCACCCATGATCCGTACTAGCACCCATGGTCCACACTATCACCCATGGTCCCTACTAGCACCCATGGTCCCTACTAGCACCCATGGTCAACACTAACACCCATGGTCCCTACTAGCACCCATGGTCCACACTAGCACACATGGTCCCTACTAGCACCCATGGTCTCTACTAGCACTTATGGTTCCCAATAGCACCCATGGTCCCTACTAGCACCCATGGTCCCTACTGGGACATGGTCCCTACTAGTACCTGGACTGGGATTGAAAATCCGAAAGCAGACGGCTCACAAATTAAAGCGTTCGTCCAATCAGGTGCAGCCAGGAAGTGGCTGCTCTGACCAATGGTGCACTCTATCACTCAGTCAGTGACAGAGCATCGCGGATATAGGGCTGGCCTGCCAGTCCAGCCAACAATGGTTTCATACTACTTTTTTCAGCTACTATAAATGATAATAATAAAGGTTTTCCTCATAATACTTGAAAAACTATAATTAAGACTAAAACTAAATAAAAACTAAACTGAAACTAGTAATTTCCTCAAAATAAAAATAAAACTACATATGCACACTTAAGTGCAAACCAAAATGAAAGACTAAATAAAAATAAAAACTAATGAACATTTCTAAACTATAATAACTCTGCTCTGGTTCGGTTTGCTTTAGGTTTGAACGTGATCCGACGGGCTGTCCAACAATGTGTTTGGCGACAACGCGCCCTTGCAAGTTATTCAGATTTCCACCTGGGAAATACGCCTGTGTTCAAATAAAAACTCACTTTAAATTTAAAACCGTGCCACTGCCATTTGTTATGCAAAAGGAAAACCCATTTCCGTCATGGTTTTCATGTTTTGGGGTAAAATAGTCAGTAGCAATCTATAACAAATTATATGCTTATTGTTGAGTTCTCCGGGCTTTTCTGCCACAATGTATGCCTAAACTCAAAAAATGGCTTAGAGGACAATAGAGGACGTAATGTACAACTCAACTCCTTCTTTCTTTGTTTGTAGGGGTTTGGGGTTTGTCAGGTTGATAACCTTTCAATATAAACCATAAAAAGAAAAAGAGAAAATAAACATACAGTATTAGCCTACTGCCATAATTATCAACATTTCATGCTGGATTACTTATTTTTTCTTCTAACAGCATTTGTTACTTTTTACTCCCCAAAAAATCTAAATAAATCATCAGTGATTCACTAATAGTTATCAATCACACAAATGACCCATCGGTAAACTGCACACCGCTATCATTTTTAACCATTCTATGAATAGCGTTTCTAAAGCAGGCGGTTTACAAATCAACAGCTAAGCAAATATACTCAAACAAGGGAAATCATGTACATACCAATTGCGTCTCTGAGATGTTCTACACATTGATGCACACCCAATTGCGGTTTTAGGTTTTTTCCTTCCCTACGGGAATATCTACTTTGCCTCACCCAGGCTTGAATATAATTCAAAACAAAGTCGGTGTTTTTTTCCCACATGAGTCACCTTAATTACCGTGAGTCACCTTAATTACCGTGAACCTTCACCCCTCACATGAACTGTGTCTTGTGCTGGTTTACTAAATTACGCCATTATTAGCCTACTCAAACACAAAACAATAGGTGATCTACTACTATTGATATTGATAAAGAAACTTAGCTTTGAAAAGGAAAATAAATAAATAAATTCATTTAAACTTTTGACCTCTGTCCACTTTTTCTACACCATCTTTAAAAACTATAGATAAACTATATATTAAAAACTTTTCAGTTAAATTTATAATTTCTTATTTTCTTTGGTATTTTTGTCAAATACAGATATGCAATGATGATTGCTGGGTAATATGTATGTTGTTGTCAAATGGCAAGTCGCTATTTGCTCATATGACGATACAATATAGCTAGTTTAGGCACAAAATCTGAACTAAAAAGCTCATCTGCCAGCTAAGCGAGCATTCATGCCTTTCAAACATAATAGCGGCAATAAGAAAAGATGCAAGAAAAAGACAGGAGAAGATAGCAAACCTCCCTAAATTTGATTCCTTTTAAGCTTTTAGACTTTTTTATAAACGGTCGCCAGCCCACAGACAACCCCCCCCCTCCTAGCAGCAGCAATGCAGCAGTTCATGCAGGTGTGTGCTTCATAACTAGTAACTAGCATGCACCAGTGGCGAGTGGTCCATACAAGCTGTGAATGTGGCACATGCCCTGGCATTTTGAAAGATGTTTTTAAAAAAAAACATTTTTGTTTTTCCTCAAATTTATTTAATTTTCGATGTACAATGACAACAGTTGTGCTGCTGGGTTTCGATCTCATTGTGAATCTACACTGAAATGCTGCCTGAATGCTGCCCGGTGTCCAGCATATCTCACGCATGCGCTGTATGTCATCTCCCACTTTCATGAGGGAGAGGGGGGAGGGGCTCAAATCGCTGAATCATTGGGAGAAAAGCTGAATTCGCCTCAGCTTTTTACTCACGTGACACAGCCCAACAATGCCCCCTACTGACTCAGCTATGTTACACATTTCCTAGAATACTACTGTTTCACGCACCCATAGACCTTATTAAACATCGTATTATTATATTAGAGCGGATCTATTATACTATTATACTATTATAGTGGTAATGACTCAACTGGTAGAGCATGGCATTAACATTTCCAGGGTTAGGGGTTCGATTCCCACTGGGACCACCCATGCTAAAATGTATGCACTTATAGAAATGCTCACGTAAAGTACAAGTATGTCAAATTTGTACTTAACCCTCTGGGGTCGATCGTGTCGCCGGCGAAACACAGGGCAGGATTAGGATAATAATAATAATAATAATAATAACAATAATAATAATAATAATAATAATAATAATAATAATAATACATTTTATTTCGAAGCGCCTTTCATGACACTCAAGGACGCTTACAGTTTAAAACAAGAGCAAGCAAGTAACAAACCATTAAAAGTGCAAGTAAAAACATCATGGCAACTACAAGGAGAATGCTGACCTGAAAAGGTGGGTTTTGAGAGAGGATTTGAACTGAGGGAGGGAGTCAATATTTCGGATGTCAGATGGGAGTGAGTTCCAGAGTTTGGGAGCAGAGCGGCTGAAAGCTCTGCTCCCCATGGTGGTGAGCCGGGCAGAGGGGACAGTGAGGTGGATGGAAGAGGAGGATCTGAGGGAGCGGGTGGAGGTGGCAGTGTGAAGGAGGTCAGACAGATAGGGAGGGGCGAGGTTGTGAATGGCTTTGAAGGTATGAAGGAGAATTTTGAAGTTAATACGGAGGTTAATTGGAAGCCAGTGGAGTTGCTGTAGGATGGGGGTGATGTGGTGGAAAGAGGGGGTTTGGGAGATGATACGGGCAGCTGAGTTCTGGACCAGTTGGAGCTTATGGAGGGATTTCTGGGGGAGACCAAATAGGAGAGAGTTACAATAATCGATACGGGAGGTGACAAGGCTATGTACAAGAATAGAGGTGGTGTGGGGGGTGAGGGAGGGACGGAGGCGATTTATATTACGAAGATGGAAGTAGGCAGTGCGGGTGGTGATGTTGATATAGGATTTGAAGGAGAGTGAGCCATCGAGGATGACACCCAGACTCTTCACCTGGGGGGAGGGGGAAACTATGGAGCTGTCAATTGAGAGGGAAAAACTGTCAACTTTGGATAGAATGGATTTAGTACCAACTAGAAGGATTTCTGTTTTATCACTGTTAAGTTTGAGAAGGTTAGAAGTGAACCATGTTTGTAGTTCAGAAAGGCAATCTGTCAGGGAGGAGGGAGGGAGGATGGAGTTGGGTTTGGTGGAGAGGTAGAGCTGGGTGTCATCCGCGAAGCAGTGAAAAATAAGGCCAAGGGGAAGGAGGTAAGTAATGAAAAGGAGGGGACCCAGGACAGAGCCCTGGGGGACACCAGAGGAGACGGGAGGGTTGGGAATGGAAGGATTTGAGTTGGATGAACTGAGTGCGGTCTGAGAGATAGGAGTGGAACCAGTCAAGGGGGATGCCAGTGATGCCGATGGAGGATAATCTATTGAGGAGGATGGTGTGGGAAATTGTGTCAAAGGCCGCACTTAGGTCAAGGAGGATGAGGATGGAGAGTAAACCAGAATCAGCTGCAGTAAGAAGGTCGTTGGTGATTTTCAAGAGGGCCGTTTCAGTGCTATGACGGGGGCGGAAAACAGATTGGAACTGTTCGTAAAGACTATTTTGAGATAGATGGGAATGGAGTTGGGAAGCAACGATTTTCTCAAGTATTTTGGAGATGAAAGATAGGTTGGAAATGGGGCGGAGGTTATTGAAGTTGTTGGGATCTGAACCAGGTTTTTTAAGGATTGGGGAGACAGCAGCAGTTTTGAAGGGTGAGGGAACAGAACCAGTAGTGAGAGAGGAGTGGATGATGGCAGCAAAGAGAGGGAGCAGAGAGGGGAGGCAGGATATGACCAGGGCAGTAGGGAGGGGATCTAACTGGCATGTGGATGGTTTTGATTTATAGATGAGATCAAAGATAGCAGAGGGATCAGGGAGATGGAAATGGCAAACTGTAGTGGAGAGGTTCAGAGGAGGGGGGAGGTGAGGGAGTGGGGCTCAAATGCTGGTGGATTTTGCAGATTTTCTGATTAAAAAACAGAAGGAGGGAGTCACACGTGTCCGAGGAGTACAGGTGGGGGGGTAGGAGATCTGGGGGTTGAAGGATTTTGTTGAGGAGTGAAAAGAGTGCCTTGGAGTTGCCATGGTTGGAACAGATGAGACTGGAATAATAAGTGGATTTGGCTGAAGCGATAGAGTCCTTGTACTGTAAAATATGATTTTTGTACATGTCATGGTGGACAGTGAGACCAGTCTTTTTATGGAGCCGCTCAAGTTGGCGTCTTTTGGACTTGAAGGAGCGGAGTTCAGGGGTGAACCAAGGGGCAGAATGGGAGAACAAGACAGACTGAGTTTTAACAGGAGCGAGGGAGTTGAGAATGGTAGTAAGCGAGTTATTGTAGTGGAGAACCAGTTCATCAGGGGAGGAGGAGTAGTCCGGGTCCGGTAAAGATGCGATGGTGGAGGAGAGGGTGTGGGAATTTATGGCCTTGATATTACGGAATGAGATGAGACGTGGTGGCTTGGTCATGGAGAGGCAGAGGGTGACATTAAATGAAAGGAGGAAGTGGTCAGTGATGGGGAGTTGATCAGCTGTGCAGTTGGAGGGAGTGAGACCAGAGCAACATATTAAATCCAGCGTATGTCCTTTAATATGGGTAGGGAAGTCAGTGAAGATGTGGTAACCAGAGCTCTCAAGGCAGGATGAGAAGTCACGGGTGAGGGGGAGAGTAGTGTTGTCGAGGTGGATATTGAAATCGCCCAGCAGAATCACGTTAGGGGAAAGAGTGGAGAGATGGGTGAGTAGAGCAGCAATATCATTTAAAAACTCAGAGTGGGGCCTAGGTGGACGGTAAACAGTGACCACAATGGTGGGAGTAGGACCAGCCAGTTTACAGGCAATGTACTCAAATGCGCTGGATGCAGGGACAGAGACGGGAATCATTTTCCACTTCTCGCGGAGAATTATCGCGAGACCTCCGCCGCGACCTGAGACACGGGATTGCGAGATGTAAACAAACCCAGGTGGGGTAGCGTCGTTTAATTGAGAAAAGTCATTAGGCTGCTGCCACGTCTCTGTCAAGCAGAGAAAGTCGAACTTACGGTCGGTGAGGTAGTCCTGGACGAGATGGCCTTTGCTCGTGAGTGAGCGGATGTTCAGAAGCCCGAAGTTGACGGTGGAGTTGTCGTTCTGGACAGTAGCGCTAGCCAACCTGGGTAGCCCGGCTAGCAAGCTGGGGTCAACCCGGCGGCGGCCGGTGTTTCTCGGAGGACGAAGAGTGGAGGACCAGAAGGATTTTATTGGTTCGGAGTAGTCAAAGTGGAAGTTCCGGCGAGAGCCTCGATGGATGTAACGTCGGCGGGGCAGGAGAGTATCATCCCGAGGGCGCAGCACCGCAGGTGGAGGCTCAAACAGGTGGGAACGTAGCCGGAGGAGCTCGGCAGCCGAGTACTGGAGAAGACCAGCCACGGGTCGGTGGTATATCGACAATGTAATCCAGGCAAGTGCCGACCAAAAGAGAAACTTGGCGGACAACATTTTTAACCGAGAAGCCAGGTGAGCTTACTAAACACAATAAAACAATAAAAACAGCCGGTGAGTAGCGTAGCGGCAGCAAGAAGCAGCAGCAAGACGCGCCAGCTTGCACTCCCGATGAGTAGGCCTAATTAAGGATACATTTGTCATGTATTTAGATTAATAGCATCACAAGTTTTTATCATACATGCATGACAAAATTATTGACAGAAACCTTATAATCCACACTTTCAAATGTGTCTTTCCAATGTGCCAAATAATGTGAGATTTTTTAAATTACACGAATTAGATAAAACATAAAACTTTACACATGGCTCAGTCACACCAGTTTAAGCGCTGTTGTACCCGCCCACCCATTCGCAAGAGACTATTCACATGGAAATTATATGATAATTTCTTTCACTCTTTCGGTTTTGATTGGTTTTGATCTTTCTGGAAGGCGTGGTGAGAACGCCCACTGTAAACACGATACATGGGCAGGTTGAAGCATAATTCACCTGTGTTGAAGTAAACCTTTTCGGAAGATGGAATGCTGGTTTACAGGAAGCCCTTTGAGTGATTCTGGACAGCGATGACAATGTCAGCGTCAACGACTCAATCCAGCTGAAGGTCAACTTGATGAGTAAGTGTAAATATTTCTTATGACCATATCGGTAGATATGCGCGCTGTGTAGTAGAACATTTCATCGCATGCTTCTAGAGGAAATAAAAAGCGCACAATCACTCGAGTTTGAATAGTAGGGGAGACCGGGGAAGGTAGTAAAACCGGTTTGTTTTAGCCCCAGCAGCCTATATTAGCCCCTTTTACACCGCCTGTTCAAAGCAAGAGCCGAGCCTTTTTGCCTCAAACCGCCCCCCTATTTCTCTTAAATTTCTCCTCCAATGTATTTCTGATCGCATGAAGACATTGCTTGCATGAATCCACCATTGCATAATGTTACGGTTACGCATCAACAAGCTGTATATGATGCACAGCAACTGCTTTGTTTTCTTATTTCTTTTTTGCTGAGCATCAGTATCCTGCTTTGATACACATTGTGTGTGTACGGTGTGTGTGTGTATGTGTGTGTGTGCGTGGACTTGGACCTGTTACCTTTAACTTTTTTTTTACTGAATATGCTACATTTCCTCAATACTGTTTTAAATTATATTTACAGAAATGAAGATGCACCAGAAGAACCACAGCCTACAACAACAGAGGACACACATGGCTCATAGTCCACAGGTAGCCAATCACTGAGGTGAAGATGCAGGAGAGGACAACTGCCCAGAAACAGTTTTGAGGAATGGCACAAAAGACATTGATGTTGACAAAACATGACAAAAGGCATTGACAAAAGACATGACAAGGTGAGATGAATAAGTTGATAGCCATTTAGTTGTCTATTTGTTTTGACCTGACCATCCCCTCTCTACTTTTTATTTTAACTGCAGTACTTTATAATGTCTTAGATTGTTATTTTTAGTCTTACTTGTGTGTTATCGCTTAGGTCCTTATTCTATTTTTTTAATTTTTAACTTTTACTTACGTGTTTCTCCTTTACATATTGTTTGAGTATTTTTGGAGGGAGTCTGAGA